GAAAGAAAGAAAGAATGGAAGAAAGAAAGGAGGGAGGGAGAAAAGGAAGGAGAGGAAAGAAAGGTAGAGAAGGGAAGGGAGCAGGAAGGGGAAGGGAAGGAGAAAGGAAGATGGATGGAAGGAAGGAGGGAAGGAAAGAAGGAACACTGAGAGACAAAGGGTGGGAGAGAAAGAAAGAGAATGGAAGGAGGGAAAGGAAGGGAAGGAAATGAAAAGGGGAAGGGAAGAAAAGGAAAGAAAAGGAAAGGAAAAGAAAGGAAAGGATGAAAAAGAGAAGGGAAGAGATGTCAATCCCTGCCAAAGATTATCTGTGTGACACACTCACTCACCGGATTCGCTGATCAGATCGGGGTTCCCCAGCGTCAGGGTGGCAGTGTAATCATCCCCGCGATATTCAGTATCAAATTGCCAGGTGGTGAATTTGGCCTGTTGAGTCTGAACAGGGCAAATCAGTCAGGAATTGGCTTTTGAACAGAGAGAAACGCTAGTCTACATTTCAGAGCTCAGCCTGAGCCGTTCAGAATACAGGGGGAGAGAGAAAGGGGGGGGGGGACAAACAAACCAGGAATGTCATAGGATAGAAGAAAAAAAAGAAAGGCACGCTTGCAGAAATCTAGCACCTCAAGGGAGGCACACCTTAGCTTTCTACATGCAGGGAAATTCCTTCTTTCAAGAATTTGACCTGAGCTGACTGTGGGTGGTGTACCATACAATCTTAAAAGCATAAAAATATAGAAATGATATAAGAATCCTAGACAATATTGTAAAACAAGATATGAGAATATTTAAAGAAAAATGAAATAAGTGATGATATGAATTGGAATGGGATAAAATAAGAATATAAGAATATTTGAGAATATTTTAATACGATATGAAATTGGATACGAACGACGAATATGTAACTATGGTCATGTTTGTATTGAAACGTAAAAACCTGGAACCACATTGTTCCCCAAGAGAGATGTTTTTTTTAAAAAAATAAAAATAAAAAAATTATATATATATATAAAAGAAAGCATATTAAATTAAAGCAATTAAAAGTAAGGGGAGTTATATTTACTTCCAATCTGGGTCTCTATTTGCTTTAAAGGGCCTTTTTTAAAAAGAAAAGCCTGTTTTGTTTTTTTCCAGCCTGCAAATTGCAACTTTGGGCATTAAAATATTAAAAAAAGAATGTGAAATTTAAAAAGGAAATTATTAAAATTTAAATAAGTTTAAATTCGACACAAAAGTTAATTAAAATGTCAGGGGAGCTGTAATGCATTTCCAATCTGTGTCTCTCTTTGCTTTTCTGCTGGTTTTTTTTTTTTTTTTGGGGGGGGGGGGGTCAGGTTGCAAAGTGCAGCTTTGGGGGTATTCAAACCCTCTTTACGACGGTCCTGCCAGGGAGGCCAAGGTGGCTACAGGGAGGCAAGGAACGAGCCCATTTCTTTATGGCCGATTGGAGAACATCCGAATCCTGGTTTTGAATTTCAGACAGACACGCAAGGCGAGACGCCGTTACCTGGAAAACCGCTTTGGTTCGTATCCGCTCCGTTATAAGATGGAGAATTTGGGCACTGAGGCTCCCAGCGCTGCTAATATCGCCAATAAGGGTGGGAAAAGTCTAGGAAAAAGAACCAGGGGAAAAAAAAAGACTGGATGAATTAAAAAAACAACAACAACAAAATATCTCTTTCAAAGCTGGTAATTTGGGCCGAAATTTCACTGCCCTTCCGAGAAACTTTTCAATGATTAACCTTTCCACGGACTGTTATTTTGTTGACTTCTGATAAAAAAGGAAAATAACAATTTTGCCCATTCGAGGAAAATGGATTGACGTTTGCCTGCTTTTAAGAATTAAAAAAAAAAAAAAGAAAGATGTAATTTTAATTTAATTATTTTAAAACTTTAAACATTTATTTTTTTAAAATGTTAAAATAAATTATTATTATAATCGCTTTTAAAAACAAATGACTCAAGAGAGTGGACATAACTGACACTCCCTTCTCTTCCTATTTTTCCCCACAGTGACAACCCTGCGAGGTTGGATTGGTATGAGAGAGAGGGATTGGCTCAAAGTCACCCAGCTCACTTTTGTGCCTAAGACTAGAACTCCCAGGCTCCTGGTGATTGGCCCAAAGTCACCCAGCAGCCTGAAAGGCTGGACTAGAATTCACTGTCTCCTGGTGATTGGCCCAAAGTCACCCAGCAGCCTGAAAGGCTGGACTAGAATTCACCGTCTCCTGGTGATTGGCCCAAAATCACCCAGCAGCCTGAAAGGCTAGACTAGAATTCACCGTCTCCTGGTGATTGGCCCAAAATCACTCAGCCAGCTTTCATGCCTAAGGCTGGACTAGAATTCATTATCTCCTGGTGATTGGCCCAAAGTCACCCAGCAGCCTGAAAGGCTGGACTAGAATGGTGATTGGCCCAGTCACCCATCCATCTTCATGCCTAAGGCTGGACTAGAATTCACCGTCTCCTGGTGATTGGCCCAAAGTCACCCATCCATCTTCATGCCTAAGGCTGGACTAGAATTCACTGTCTCCTGGTGATTGGCCCAAAGTCACCCAGCAGCCTGAAAGGCTGGACTAGAATTCACCGTCTCCTGGTGATTGGCCCAAAGTCACCCATCCATCTTTCATGCCTAAGGCAGGACTAGAACTTACCATCTCCTGGTAATTGGCACACCCAGCTGTCTTTCATACCTAAGGAGAGTTAACTAACCTGATTTAACAAGCCTTACTTCCGAGGGACTCCAAACCCACCTACTTGTAATCTGGGAATTAGGATCCAAAAGACCAACTGAAATCCCGTTTCGACCGGAAATAATCTGCTTTGGCTCACCTCTGTAGGACTAAGCTGCCGATCGCCCAAGTACGTCGCGTTCAGGTGGTAACTCGAGTGGCCGATGGTGCTCATGTGAACAGTGTGGCTTACCTGCAAGAGGGGGGGAAAAAAACAGCAGGAAGTTTCAAATCAGAAAACGAGGCGTGCAGGTAGGCGTCAAGTTGTAAAATATTCCTATGCCTGTTTCGAAGTTGCCGTGAGAAAGAGGAGGGGGAAAAAAAAAAAGACCTGAAGGAGCATACGGCAAATAAAATCAGAAGCACATTCCAAGTTTCTCTTACAAAGAGTGTAACTTAGGCAGCCGGATATTCTGCCTGCGAAAATCCTTTATTGGAGAATGTGATTGTTGACACCCAGAGCCCATGAACCTGTTTCGTTGGAGAAGCTGAGTTATGATACACCCAGGGGGTTGGGGGAGGACAGGGTCATAGTGGTGATATTCTACCGGTTTTGTCCCGGTTCTGCCAAGCCGGTAGCGCCGATGAGTAGCAAGAGACAGAACTGGTTCTCTCCGACGCTTTGCTTTTGGGCCCACTCGCCCGGGTTCTCATACTGATCTTTATCTCCAGATTGCTGCGTGGCAGCTGCCAAAGCAACAAGGGAGAGTGCAGGCTTGCAGGAAGTGGAGTCAGAAAGCCTCTGCGCCTGTGCAAAGTGCACATTTGGTATGTGTGTGTGTGCAAAGTGCGCCCACCTTAGCCACGCTCATCGAACTGGTGGTAAGATTTTTTTTGAAATGCACCACTGGTCATAGGGGATTGTAAATTACATGTCTCAGAGTCGGCTTCATACAGGTCATGCGGCATGTCGCTCCTAATAAATCCTTTGAAGTTTTTTTTGAAGCTTGGCTCGAGGCTGATGATTTAATTAGGGCGATCGCCGGAATCCTGAGAAGCAAGCCCTCATTGAGGCCAAAACTATTGCTAAGTGAAACTGGTTGTTCAGTGAGTTTTGCCCCGTTTTACCACCTTTTAGGGCTGCGTGGGTTAAGGGAATCCCTCCGGTTCTTAAGTGAGTGCCATGGTCGTTAAGCGAATCCCGCTTCCCCATCGACTTTGCCCTCCCCCGCGACCATCACAGATACGAGTCAGTTGCCAAGCGTCTGAAGGTGGATCACGGGACCCTGTGGAGGCTGAAACCGTCGTAGGTTGTGAAACAGCATCCAAAGTCCTGTTTTTCAGTGCCATTGTAACTTCAGTCACTAAACGAAGCGTTGTAAGTCAACAATGATCTGTACAAGACAACTTAGTCTAATGTTTGTTTGCTGGATGGATGGAGGAAGGAAGATAACACGCCCGCCTTCCATGACTCCACAAAATAACCCCCCCTGCGAGGTAGGCTAGCGTGTTATGGAGACCCCCTCCCCAAATTACAGATTCCTGGAAGCAAGGAGACTCACCTGGAAATGGCTACTCAGAGACTTATTAATGATCAGCTTGACGCCTTCTATTTGTTGAGGGAAAACATCTGAAATGGAAACAGGGTTTAAAAAGGGAGAGAATTTGAAGCCACATTTAAACTGACTTTATTGGATGGATGAAACGCTCCCCACACCCATCTGGCTATCGAGTCACACTGGGGAATTTACCAGAGAATAAAAACGATAATACAAAAATATGACAACAGTCAATATGAACTGTGGAATCGATGAGGGAGATTGGACCAGCTGGCCAGGGACAGAACCAGCCATTACACAACCAGGTACACAAAAATAAAACACAGGGTTTTTTTTGTAACCCTCAAGCAAGGACGTTTCGGCACATACACACAGTCCTCGCCTGACGACCAGAATTGACCCTCAAAATTCTGCTGTTAAGTGAGATGTTTGTTAAGTGGATTTCCCCCCCCATTTTATGACCTTTCTCATCTTGGTTGTTAAATGGATCACGGAGGTTGATAAGCGAGCAACCCCGTTGTTAAGTTAGTCTGCAAGGAAACCACCAAACTCAGAGTAATCTGGACCCCACAGTCCTCCTCTTCCTCCTCCTCTTCTCTTCCTCACTCCTCTCCACAAGCCCCATTCCCTTCTAGCACTGATGACGTTACCTAGTTGGGCCATGAAATGTCTGCAAGAAAGCCATCAAGCTCAGAGAGCATCCACAACCCCACAGTTGGGCTGGTGGGGGGTTGGACTAGATGACCTGCAAGGTCCCTTCTAATCTGTATCCGTATCAGTTCTCCTCCTCCTGCTCTCTGCAAACCCTACTTCCTTCTAGCACTGATGACGTTACCTAGTTGGGCCATGAAACGTCCACGAGAAAACCAGCTAGCACAGAGAGCACCCAGGACCCCACAGTTCTCCTCCTCCTCCTTCCCCCTTGTAGCACGGATGATGTTACTTAGTTGGCTCATGAAACGTCTGCAAGAAAACCACCAAGCTCAGAGAGCACCAAGGGCCCCACAATTCTCCTCCTCCTTCTTCCCCCTTCTAACACTGATAATGTTCCCTAGCTGGGTCATGAAACGTCTGCAAGAAAACCCACCAAGCTCAGAGAGGCCCCAAGCACCTGCCAACCAAATCTATCCATATATAAGCAAAATAAGAATAAAAATAAAAACTAAAAAGGGGTGTTTTACCTTTGCATTTGCGGTGAAGTTCATCAAAACTACCGGGGTTGCAGAGTCCTTCGGCCCGGCGAGCCCCTTTTCGTGGGGCCGAGAAGGGGGCGAATATATTCCCCATGACCTCCCCCAACCCCCCAGCTCCACACCTAAAGCCAGGCTGGGGGTTCGTCTCACCCGGTTTGGGTCCCCCCCCCCCCCCCGCCTTGTTTGAAAGCAAAAGAATTCAAGGGTTGCGTGTTATTTCACACCTAGAACCAACCAACCCACCAACACCTTCGTGGCTCCCTAGGAATGGGGGGGAGGGAGGAAGGAAAAACAATCCTTCTGCAGCTTCTTCTTCTTCTTCTGCAAAATAAAATAAAATACAATAAAAATAAAAAATGGGGATGCTTGCTTTGCTTGGAGAAAGGGGGGAAAGGAGGAAGGGGGGGAAGCGTGTTTGTGGGGGGGGGGGCGCAGGATGGGGATCCAATAAATACTTGAGGGGGGGCTGGGGAGGAAACGGACCCCCCCTTTTTTCAAAAGGTCGTGGGAATTGGAAAAGGGGGAGGGGGTTTAGAAAGGCGTCAGGCATTCAGAGCCCCCTCCCCACTCTTCCTAACTCTTCCTTCCCCCCCCCCCCCCCCGGTGCTCTTGATGGGGGCGGCCCTCCTCCCCCCCCCCCCCCCTCCTTTTCCCCCCCCCTCCCACACCCGCCCCTCTTTTTCAAGGCTGCGATTGGTCGCCGGGAGGATCAAGCCCGCCCTCCACCCCGCAGGAGCGGAAGCCGAGCTGAGCGGGGATTGGCTCAAAAACAATTGTAGCCAAAGCCGCTTCCTTTTTCTCCAGCCGGCCCTTTGATCTCTCCCTCTGCCCCCCCCCCCCCCCCCCCGCGTTTTCCCTTTCAAGCCGCTCTCTGATTGGCTGGAAATGTTGCGCGAACGTTCGGCCGGCTCCCAAGGCGCCGCGCGGGGTCCCCAGCCAGGCGGCTTTCCCGGGTTGGGGGTGACGGGGTGGGGGAGGGGAGAGGAAGGCGATGGGGATTCTAGGCGGGTCCCTCCCCACCCGTGAACGCGGGAAAAGGAATCCGGATGAAGAGCGAGGCCGCCCGTGCCTGCCTCGGTCTCTTGGTTTCATCTGATTCGTCTAATCTACCTAATACCTCTTATCTGTCCATCCGCCCATCTATCCGCTCTAATCTAATAGCTCTGTCTATCGCATCTGTCTAATATCTAATCACATCTGTCTGTCTTTATCCATCCATCATCTATCTCCTCTACCTATTTATCATTCATCTAGCTATCAATCTCTAGAATCTAAACCTCTATCTATCTATCTATCTATCTATCTATCTATCTATCTATCTATCTATCTATCTATCTATCTATCTATCTATCTATCTATCTATCTATCTATCTATCTAATCTACAGTATATATCATCTATCAATCTATTTATCTACCTACCTACCATATTTATCATCTATCATCTACTGTATCTATCTGTCTATCATCTACCTACCTACCTACCTACCTACCTACCTACCTATACTATCTACCTACCTACCTACCTTTACTAACTATCTATCTATCTATCTATCTATCTATCTATCTATCTATCTATCTATCTATCTATCTATCTATCTACCTACCTACCTATCTATCTATCTATCTATCTATCTATCTATCTACACTATCATCTATCTATCGATCGATCCATCGATCCATCCATCCATCCATCCATCCATCCATCCATCCATCCATCCATCCATCCATCCATCTACACTATCCTGTCTGTCTGTCTGTCTATCTATCTATCTATCTATCTATCTATCTATCTATCTATCTATCTATCTATCTATCTATCTATCTATCTATCTAAACTTCTACTTCACCTATCTCACCTAAGGGACTGGGAGATTTACAAACCACCATAATAAAATAATATAAAAACAAGAACACAGAGTATTAGGGTTGGAAGTGACCCCTTTTTTTCTGTTAAAACAAAAATTAAGTAAGAGGTTGGCACATGAATAAGCTTCAGTAGACCAGTCATAGGTTTTGGACAATCTGTACTTTAGGCGTCAAATCCCCCGAATTTTGGAAAATGCCAGTAAAGCCTTTCCTCTATCTATCTGATCCCTGCAAGACCTTTATTTGATGCCATTAGCACACGAAGGAAGGAAGGAAGGAAGGAAGGAAGGAAGGAAGAGGAGGAGGAGAGGAAGAAGAAGAAGGAGAAAGAAGATGAAGAAGTAGAAGCGGCAGCAGCAGCCATTTATTTTTACTCCAAAACCCACAAGAAGAGAGCACATGATTAATGATTAATCTTATACGATTAATGATTATTTCCAGATCTTGAAATTCAGTGAAGGCCTGGAAAAATCAGGTTGAATGGCCACTGTGCTTATCACCTGCAAGCTACAACAAGCCAACAACCTCCCCGCTTCCCGTGATGCCCAGTTTTCCAGAACTTTGAAATTTGAGAACAAACATTGGGACTCATTCCTCCGTTCCTCTCTTCCTTTGTTGGCCTTCAGATCGTGAAGATAACAGGATGGGCATTTTGGGTATTTTACAAGGAAGCCTTCAGTCGATCGTAGGAAAAATGCTGGCTTGTTCAGGATGTCCGGGTCAATCAATCACCTGGTTTTTGACTCAAGAGTTAATTTGTCACTTGCCTTCAGCTCCTTGTCACAGTTTCAGATTGAACTACTAGATTAACTGAGTTGGAAGGGACCTTGTAGGTCATCTAGTCCAACCCCCTGCCCAAGCAGGAGACCCTGCAAAATTTCTGACAGATGACAGTCCAGTCTCTTCTGGAAAGCTTCCAGGGATGAAGCTCCCACAACTTCCGGAGGCAACTTTTGTTCTATGGGTTGATTGTTTTCACTGTCAGAAAATTCCTCCTTATTTCCAGGTTGAATCTCTCCTTGTTCAGTTTCCATCCATTCTTCCTTGTTTGGCCTACAGGCACTTTAGAAAACAGCTTGACCCCCTTCCTCCTCTCTGGGGCAGCCCCTCAAATACTGGAAGACTCCTATCCTGTCTCCCCTGGTCCTTCTCTTCCCTAGACTAGCCAGGCCCAGTTCCTGCAACCGTTCATTGTATGTTTTAGCCTCCAGTCCCCTCATCATCCTAGTTGCTCTTTCTTTTATGTACACTGAGAGCTTGTGCGCCAAAGACAAATTCCTTGTGTGTCCAATCACACTTGGCCAATAAAGAATTCTAAATAATAATAATAATAATAATAATAATAATGGCAGATTATGTGAAAGACAGTGTTGAACCAGCTTTGATGGAGGTCAACAATAGGCTTCTCAAAGTTTCTCAAAGTGCAGCAAACCAAGGATCGATGTTGGAAAACAACAATGCAAACTCGGGCTGACAGCTAGTGTAACAAAGCACTGCATGGACAGTTCCTTGAAAAGATCCAAGGAAAAGTAGACTAGGAAAAGAGCTGGTTATGGCTGACCAATGGAACACCGAAGAAAGAGACAGAAGGCCTGATTCTTGCAGCCCAAGAACAAGCCATCAGAACAAATGCAATCAAAGCCAGAATAGAAAAAAAATCTGCCGATAACCCCAAATGCAGACTCTACAAAGAAGCGGGTGAAACCATCGATCACATCCTGAGTTGTTGTAAGACCATCGCTCAGACTGACTACAAACAACGTCACAACACCGTCGCTCAGATGGCCCACTGGAACTTTGTGTCACCAACGACCACCTGCCTGTAGCAAAGAACAGGTGGGATCATAAGCCTGAGAAAGGGGTCGAAAATGAGCATGCAAAACTACTGTGGGACTTCCGAATACAGACTGATAAAAAGTTTTGGAACACAACACCCCGGATATCACGATTGTGGAGAAGAAAAAAGGGCGGATCGTCAACATTGCCATACCTGGTGACAGCAGAATCGACGAGAAACAACTTGGAAAAGTCACCTTGAGAATCGAACTGCAGAGAATCGAACTGCAGAGACTCTGGCATAAACCAGTGCAGGTGGTTCCAGTGGTACTGGGCACACTGGGTGCTGTGCCTAAAGACCTAGGCAAGCACTTGAAAACAATTGGTGATGACAAGATCACCATTGGTCAGCTGCAGAAGGCCACCTTACTGGGATCTGCTCGCATAATTCGCATATACATCACCCAGTCTTAAACGCTTGGGAAGTGTTCGACTAGTGATTTGTGATGCGAAACCCAGCATAGTTATCTCGTTTGCTGTGTACACTGTTGTTTTCTGTGAAGAATAATAATAATAATAATAATAATAATAAGGTTGATATCTAGGACACTGGCAGCTATATGTGTGTTTTTTTTATTCTTTACATTTGGGGCACAAGCTGGATCAGGTGGCACCCATCAGATATTTCTCTGCCATCCTGGATTTAAAAAAAAACAACAACCAAAAATTGTCTCTGCTCTGTTTGTTTTTGTCTTTCATAAATCAGTCACCTTGATGTGTTGGAGGTGAATGTCCAGCTGATAAGAGGAAATTCAGACGTTGTCCTTTCCTTGCACCCAAATTGCGAGAGCTGGCCAAAAACAGCTGCTGGAGGACAGCTTTCCTTCCCCCCTCCCTGGGCCAAGCGAAAACTCCAATTAGTCCTCGAACTTACGACCATTCGTTTAGCGACCGCTTGAAATGACAAAACAACGGCTGCGAAGTGAGACTTGCCTCGTTTTACGACCTTTCCTTGCCACCGTGGTTTAAGGGGATCGCCGCAGCGGTTCAATGAGCAAGGCGGTTTGTTAAGTGAGCCAGGCTTTGTTGATCGGACGGTCGCAAAAGGGGATCGCGTGACCCACCCCGGGACGCCGAGACCGTCATAAATATGAGTCGTTTGAACTTTTGATCAACGTTAAGTGTGAACAACGGTCATCATTTTGCTTTTTCCAGTGCCACTGTAACTTCGAACGGTCGCTAAATGAATTGAAAGTTGCGCGGTTTGAGGGGGTTGGACTAGAAGGCCTCTAAGGACCCTTTCCAACTTTATTATTCACAGGATTACCTGGATTTTTTCCCCCTAGCGTTTTTTTTCTACCCCCTGAGTCCTCTTATACTCTTATAGTACCTCGAAGGTGCGTTTGATTTTTTAAAATGGGACCTTCTAGATGTCCTTTAGGTTTAGGAGATACATATTCAGCAAAGGCTGAAAGAAGGAGAATCAGGAATTCAGTCTGTGCTTTGCCCCTTTGTAAACCTTCGTTTTCTGGTTTGAACTGAATGTTACCGTTGAAGTGTGTACGCATACGGGGAAAGAAGATAACTCTTTACACACAGAGAGACACACGGACAACTCTGTTTACACAAGAGTTACACAAGCAGCGATTGTCCTGTTCCCAAGAGAATTGATGAGGGTGGTCAGTTTAGATAGGGAGGGGAAGGGGGTGCAAGCGCCAATCATTTTCAGAAAAGATTAGTGAGAGGGGCTGAACTTTGAGGAGAGGGTATAAAAATACCTAGACTCTGATTAAAACACATTTCTTCTCCGGATATTCTCTTTTAAATCCCTCGCACAGGTAAGGATCAAAGGCTTTTCTTTAAAAAATGAAAAGAAGAAAATAATGATCTGTCTATCTATCTATCAATCTATCTATCTATCTATCTATCTATCTATCTATCTATCTGTCTATCTATTTTTTTTAATCTGTCTATCTGTTTATCTAATATCTGTCCATCTTTCTTCTATTTATTGTCTACCTTCCTACCTGCCTATTTATCTTCAATCTGTCTGTCTATTTACTCAGACAATCAAATCTCTGTCTGTCTTTCTTCTATTTATTGTCTGTCTGTCTGTGTCTATCTATCTGTCTGTCTGTCTGTCTATCTAGTTCTAGTCTATCTAATCTCTGTCTGTTTTTCTTCTATTTATTGTCTGTCTGTCTATCATTATTTTATATATTTATTAAACCGGCTTTGTTAAATATGGGGCAGGTAAGCAACCAGCTGTTGCAACCGATTCTTTAGCTTGGGGGAAAAAAAGCATTTTTAATTTCCAATATAATATATCCTTCTTCTGCACGGCTCTACCCAAACGTAGATGTTGGCTTACTAAATCAAACCAGCCATGTCACCCCTTGTCCGCTCACGTCCCCTGAATGGCACTTCAGTTTCCAAGTGTGTGGTTTGCACGAAGGCTTTTCAACTTCCCGACCTCTGCGTTGCCAATTGATTTGAAGTATTCAAGTCAGTCAAAAAAATTTTTTTTCAGCCCTGTCGGAACTTCAAATGCTCATTAAATCAATGGTTATAAGTTGAGTCGTTTTCTGGCGTTTCAAGAATCAAAGTTTCTAGTCCCTGTGATGGCACTTAAAAAATAAATAAATCCAAAATTCAACTGGCTGAGTCATACATTTGCAAGAGAAGGAAAGCTGGGTGAACTAGGCAAGGAATGGCATTAAACCTGATATTTCCCCCCTCTTCTCTGTCTGTTTCTCTTTCTTCTCTGTAAATTCCCCAATCCCCCTTTCTCTCCAGAAGAAAAGGTGAAGGCAAGCTTGTGTCAAAATGAAGGTTTTTGCCCTGACTGCTCTGCTGATCAGCATCTGCTATGTCGAAGGTACGTAAACGCGTCTGGTTTTGGTCACCACGATATAAAAAAAAAAGATGTTGAGACTCTGCAACGAGTGCAGAAAAGAGCAGCAATGAGGATTACAGGAGGATCAAATAGGAAGAATGTTTGCAGGAATTGGGGAGGTTTAATGAAAAGAAGGACTAAAAGTGACATGATAGCAGAGTTCCAATATTTGAAGGGCTGCCCCAAAGAAGAGGGAGTCAATTTATTCTCCAAAGTACCCAAAGGCAGGACAAGAAGCAACGGATGGAAACTAATCAAGGAGAGAAGCAACTTAGAACTAAGGAGGAATTTCCTGACCGTGGGAACTATTCACCAGTGGAACAGCTTACCACTAGAAGTCGTGGGTGCTCCATGACTGGAGGTTTTCAAAAAAAGAGACTGGACAGCCATCTGTCCAGAATGGTCTAGGCCAGGGTCTCCTGCTCGGGCAGGGGGTTGGGCTAGATGACCTCCAAGGTCCCTTCCAACTCTGCTATTCTACGTTCTATGGAAAAGCGGAGGTTGTACCTTTGACAAGCGGCCAACTCGGTGCTATTGACG